GGACCACTCACTTATCTTGTTTGGCCTGAATAGGACTGGCTCACATGAAACAGCTACCAACATTGAAAAATCATGAGATGTTACATCAGAAAAAGAGGAGAAATAAGAAAAACACAATCACAAGGATCATGACAGTCTGTGGATATGAAATGAACATTTTTCTAACATCTCAAAAACAGTATTTCACTCAGGGCACTTTGCTATGAGCAAAGACTCAGGTTGGGGTTGTTGCTCCACCCCCTCACACATGCATGCTCTAAGGACTTCATGAATAGCTACACTGACCAGTCAGTCCATTCATTCACTCAATTTCTTTAAGTACCATGCTTGGTAACACAATTACCTTAAAAAAAAGTCAATTCTTCAAAGTACAAAGGAATTCAAATGAAAGTTTTCTTACTTTAGAACTGACCAAAGAGGTTATTCTTCTAATTAATATAGTGACAAAAGCTAATAAAAAGCAACAAATAGAGCAATACTGGATGACACTGAAAACTAAAAGTGGTAAGATTCTTTGAAACAACTGAGAAATCTGGACTGTCATAGCTATCTTAAAAATAAAAGGAAGCTGGGTATGATGGGCAACACCTTTAAGCCTGGCACTCAGGAGGTAGAAGCAGGCAGATCTCTGTGAAATTAAGGCCAGCTTGGTCTACACAGCAAGTTCCAGGCTAGCTGTGACTACAGGAAGACCTTATCTCAAAATCTCAAAATAAGGGCAATAGAGATGGCTCAGCAGTTAAGACCACTGGCTGCTCTTACAGAGGATCCAGGTTTGATTTCCAGCACCCACATGACAAATAACAACCATCCATAACTCCAGTTCCAGGGGAACCTAAGGCCCTCTTCTGTCCTCAAAGGGCGTTGCATTGCATGACATGGTGCACTTACATATATGCAGGCAATACACTCATGTACATAAAATGAGAAAAAAACCAAATAAATAAATAATTTAATTCGATGCAATAAAATATTTCCTTCAGCTTTTGAAGAAGTTCTGCATTTGAAGAGCTGCTGTCCATCAGATGTGGCCAAAGCATTACTCGTAGCCAACAGTCAAGATTGTTCTATATTTACCAAAAGAGAACTCACAGCTCTGCACCTCCTAACACCCACCAGCTTCTGATAGTTTTATCTCAGTACAAAAGAAACTGGGTTTCAAAGGAGCAATGAACTAGAAAGATTTGGAAATTTAATGATTAAATATTTCTATTTTCAACCGTGATTTTTTTCATTTTATGCACTCTAAGACACATGCTCTTATTGTTATGCTGTTGTACCATCAAAGTAATTTGACTTGGGCATGGTGACACATGCTTAAAAAGCCAGCACTTTTTTAAGTGAAAAAGATAAAGAGAAAGAGGCAGGAGGATCACAAGTTCAAGGCTAGCCCAGGCTACAAGGCATATTTAAGGCCACCCTGGCTATATAATGGGCCCCGTTTTCTTTTTTCAAGTAATTTGAGTATACTGGCAGAAACACTCAGGAAATGAATGTAGCTGGTTGAGTTTGCTAATCCTATCCATATCATGTTCTATTTTAAAGTCTCATGCTACTAACCATAAAGGAGTTTCCTGGTACTAAGGACCAGGGACAATTCTCAACACAGCCAGAAATGCAGACAGCACTTAGAAACCATTTCCAGTGCAGGGCCACCCTTGGCTATTTCTTCACTCACCTCCACAGTTCTTTGGTCATTGAAACATCATTCCAGATCTAGAATAAGGAGGAAAAGAAGACAGTATCTGGTCAATCAATAAGCATATAACACTCTAGCCTATCAATCCCTATGGAGAGGACAAAGAACAAATCAAGCCTCTGTCTCTGCACTCAAGAAAACTCAACCTGGAGCATTAGACAGTAAGACAAAAACCATGAAATGAGTAAGAAGAGGCTCAGCAGGGTTGAGGGTCAGAAACCAGGGGTCTTATTGAAGTGATTACTAATCTAAAGTTTTAAAGCAACGGACTAGGAAGATGGCTCAGCAGTTAAGAGCACTGGCTATTCTTCCAGAGAATGGGGTTTGAGTCCCAGCACCCCATGGTGGCTATAAACAGTTCCTAACTCCAGTTCCAGGGGAAGCCAACTCCTTCTTCTAACCTCCACGGGCACTGCATGACATGGGTGCTCTTTTACACATGCAGGCAATACACTCATACACATACAATAAAAATGATTAGAAACTCTGTTCCTAAGAGATGCCTAGTCTACTTACACAAAAACAATCAGGGACTCAACTCCAGTTCATCTTAGGTAAAGCACTGTGTGATATTGTTTCCTCATGAGTAAAAAAAAACATTTCTGCAGCAGAGTCATGGAAAGTAAACCCAGAAGAGGGAACCACCACACAGGGGCCTAGGGGCAAAGCCCACCACACGAGGAAATTCCAGCCTACTTCAGACAAGCCTGAGCAGAAGGGCGGAAGCATGGTGACCCCGGATCTGCGAGGCATGGTCATCCCTTCTTGCCCTGGCCATGGACTTGATCCTGCTCTAAACTGCTTAACACTGACATTTGAATACCCCTGGTCTTGAATATCCTTCGCCTTCACTCTCCCTCTCCCTCAAATCAGCCTTCTATGGCTGTCTAGCTGTTTCTCTTCATATCATGGGCTTCCTTCTGAAACCTTCCATATACTGTCCCTCACCACCAGCGTTCTCATTGGTGTTAGCCTTGTCCCTGGCTGGTCTTGGTCATAAATTTGACCCTCATTCTCACCCTTATCTACACCTAGATCTTACCTTTGCACTCACGCTCCCTGGCTCTCACCCTCTTTCTAAACTTGGGCTTTACCCTGCTGCACTACAACATTCACCATTCACAGTGACTTCATCCTTACAACTGGCCTTCATCCTTGTCCTAGCCTTGACAGTGACCCTAGATACTGTCTTTAACGATCGTTCTGAACTTCACTCTTAACTAAATTGGGCTGAGACCTATTCAGGTCAGTGAAACTTAAGACCAGGGCCATAAACAGTGTGAAGTATAATCAGGGACAGAGTGATTAAGATCAAAATCAGAGTGTGGGTGAGTGTCAAGATTAAGTTTACTACGAAGTATGAGGGTCATGGTCAGGATTGGAGCTCTGGCAAGGATTAGGGTCAATGATAAGGCGAACGTCAGTTCATGGTCAAAGCCAGGTTCAGAGGTAGGATCAGTGTCAGATTCAGATTCAAGATCAATATGACAATAATGTTGGGGTTAAGGTTAAATTCAAGTTACCTTTCCAGGTTGGGTGAGAGTGAACATGATATTGTGGCATTCAAGATCAATGTCAGAAATTAATTTTGTTGCTGCCTTAACAAATCACTGCAAATTTAGTGGCTTAAAATGAAACAATTATTTTTTTCTGTAGGTGTGAAGTCTGGTTTGAGTCTTGCTGGGCCCGACTCAAGGAATCAGCTGGGCTTCACTTCTCACACCAGACTGTAGGAGAGAACTCATTTCCTTGGTCATAACGTTCTTAGCATACACCTGTAATCCCAGAACTTCAGAGTTGAAAGCAGGAAGATTTTGAGTTTAAGATGAGCCTGGATTTCCTAGCAAGATTGTACACAGCCTGGCTAATACACCCTGCCTCAACAAAGAAAAAGTTCTACTTTCCTTGCTGGCTGTGAGGAGGCATATACAATTTCTAGAGACTACCTCAGTTCCTGGGTTCTCAGTGCCCCAAGTCCAGGGCAACTGGACTTTTGGTACACCATGTATGGAGAGGGGGAAGCTGACTTTCTAGATCTGTTTAGCCATTAGCCAAATATCCTCCCTCCCTGTGGCCTCATGGAGCCCCTTGCCTATAGAAGTCCCCAAGTACTGAGGACTTTAATTCTCAACTTGATGGATCCTGCAAGATCCTCATCCCTGACCCTGAGCTTCTAGTGTATTTTGCTGTCAGGTGAGTATTTTTAGTTTTCTACGGAATGGTCAGAGCGACACAGTAATTCCTGCCTACACTGAAAGGGAGAGACATGAAACCCCTCTTCATGGGTGGGAGAATTGAAGAGCTTTAGTGTACCAACCCAGTCATTAAGAAATGTTGCTCGCACTATGCATTCGATTATTATGGAACTTTTTTAGTACCAACCCAGTCATTAAGAAATGTTGCTCGCACTATGCATTTGATTATTATGGAACTTATCCTAGGGGCCTTTCTACCTGTAGGAAGTTTGAATGCTAATACTTTTGTCAGTCCTCACCGGAAGGGGAGTGGCTGCTTTGTCTAGCCATATTCCTAGGCAAGGCTTTGCCTTCCAGCTAGGGAAAACAGATGGCTACATTCAGGGGCTTCCCTGTCTCTCCTAGCCCTTTATGGTTTGTAAGGCCCACGTCTAAATGTGGGTTTGATCTTTAGCTCATGGCTTCACTGGGATGAGCTGGAACCTTTAGGAGGTGTGGTCTAGAATAAGGAAAGCAGTCAAATAGCCTCACTAACCTGACAGGAAAGGGATGAAATCTTTTTTAACTCAGAGAGAGAGGAATACTCACACGGAGAACATCTTAACACAACATCTTAACATATTTTGTAAGTGAGGCCACTGAGCAGACACTGACCAGGCTCCTGTTGTCACTCATCACCAGAGGCTCACAGCAAGGTGACCTGTGGTCTTGTAGCTCCTGCCTCTTCTCTGTAAAGCTTGTGACTTCCTGGCATAAAGTATGAAACCAGGTGCCAGAACTAAAGGAACTCAGGATTCCCCAGTTCTAGACACCAGAAGTCCAAGATGAAGGCAATAAATCCTGAAGACCTACGAGGCATTTGCCCATGGTTTCTCTCCGATTTCTGTTGGGTCACTGGCTTGTGGCAGTGTGACTTCAATCTCCATACAGCGTTAATCTCTGTGTGCATGTTTGTGTTCAACCTTGCCCTTTCTATAAGAACAACAGTTCGGACCCAGCCAAATAAAAGCTTTGTAACTGCACTTCCAACAACCCTGTGTCTAACTGTATTCACCTTCTTACATGTTAGGATTAGGATTTCTATATTTGAAATTGAGGTAGGAAGAGGCACAATTCAGCCTGTGAATGGACAGTGAAGTGTCCCTAGCTTAGGGACAGTGGATCTTACAGAAGGAAGATAGTGCCCTGAGCATGAGTCTGTGAAGGTCAGGCAGAAGGGGCTGGCTTTTACTCCACCAAGGCATAAACCAGGCAACCCTGTTTTCACCTGGGGAGACACTGCAGTTAACAGTCCCCAGGAACAGTGCCACCAAGAGCTGCCATCTGCTGCCACATCTCAAGAGCCTGGCTTTCTCTCCACCAGTCAAGAGCCCCCACCCAATATCCACTGCTCAGATTCCAATCAGTGTGTAATGCTGCACTTTATAAACTAGGAATGAACAGCTAGGGATCACCAGACCCTGTGGAGAACATCTCATAGAAGACACTCAGAAGAGCAAGATCAGGAAGCAAAGCAGGTATGTAGTAGAGAAGAGACAAGCAGGGAGCCAGAGACCTAGAAAACAGTAATCTGTGTTCTTAGAAATCAGATGGCATCATACCCACTGGAAAGAACAGTGTGAGAGTAAAAGTGAGATTAGTAGGAGGTGATCAAGAAGGAAAGAGAAATATAGATGTTTACAAAACACTAAGTAACATCTATCAATTTATCATCTACTGTCTATCCATCCATATATCAATTATTGATCCATCATCTGTCATCCATGTATAATAGCTATCATCTATTATTAATCATTATCTATCAGCTGTTTAGTATCTATCATCTGTCCTATTGCGGTCATCCATAATATATCATCTATAATATATCTGCCTACCTATCCATCCATCAACTGTCTATAACCTAACTATTGACTTACATTTTCATCGACCATGTATTTATATTTATCCATCATGTATTTATCACCTATTTATCAATCACCTATTTACTAATGTCTGTGTATCATCTATCTTTCCCCATCTTTATAACCCATTCCCCACTGGCACCCTCCCATACCCCCCACTGGAATCCATACATTCTGTCACTTTTCTTAAGGCCTATTGTGTCAAGTGTCCCCAGATGTACCTCAGTGCAAGTTCACCTACTGAGGTCTAACCAGCTTATCTAGAGTCTATTGCTTTAGGAAGATTAGCTCTTTGTCACCCAGAAGTAATCAGTTGCCAGTATTTCTTCAGCTAAGACTGGGGTCGGCTGTCCATTTCCCCAGTTCTACGGTGGGGTTTTTGTTTGAGTTTGCATGTGTCTGGTTCATGCTGACACCATTGCTGTAGGTTCAAATGAGCAAGGTCTCAGGAGCTTGTAGGACTCTATTTCCATATGGTCATCTACCTCCTCCCTGTCTCTTACAATCTTTTGGCTCCCTCTTCCACAATTGTTCTTGAGCCCTGGGTGGGTATAGTTTAGTATAGGGGTCATGTCTAAGGACCAGCAATCTGTACTCTTTAGTCTACACTTTGGCCATTGTGACCTTTTGTATTCCTTTTTCCTGGCCCTCTGTTGCATGAGGGAGCTTCAATTAAAGAGATTCCACCTCACTCCAGTCAGACGGTCTATCATCAATGAAACAAGACTCATTTTCACAGCAGCTCTGTTACCTGCACAAGATGTGCACAAAATGGGCTTGTGAGCATTCCTAGCCCTCCCTGAGGAACCATTGGTAGTTAAAGTCATTGAAAGGAAGGGCATTCTATTTGTTTCAGTGGTAGCTTCTGGTAACTTGCCTCTGCTCCTGTGAATAAACTCCCATCCATGTGCATGCAAACAACCCTCAGTGACCCTCAGTGGGCCACCAAAAAGCAAAGCAAAACAAAAAATCCATGGAAAGTGAAAAGGAGACTTGGGGAAAGAGGGTTGGTGGAAGGGGGGAAGAGGAAGAGAGCACTGCAGTGAAAATGAGCAAGTATAGTTTACACACGTAGGGACATCAAAAAATGAAAATAAGTCAAAACACCTGGTGTGGTGGCATACACCTTCAATCCCAGCACTCAGGAGGTAGCAGCAGTCAGATCTCTGTGAGTTTGAGGCCAACCTGGGTTACATAGCAAGTTCTAGGCCACCTGGGGCTACAAGGAGACCCTGTCTCAAAAACCCAACTATGCAAAGCAAAACAAAACAAGACAAAAAGTCAATAAGAGAAAACAAGTGACAACAGATGCTGATGAAAACGTGCACAGGAAGATCTCATCCCTGATGGGAACTGCCCTGTGACCCTGCCACACCACCTCTACTTAGGTCTGAGCTACAACCTATGCTACATATTCAGAAGACCATCTTGGAGACACGACACTTTGTCTCCAAAGACAGACAGGGAGGAAGGGAAGGAAAGACAGGGAGAGGGAAATGAGGGGGGGGGGCGGCAGAATAAACTAGAATGAGAAGAAATAGAAATCAACTGAAAATAAATCAGGGATTATGCATACAATAGACGTAGGAAACAAGGACACTAGTTAATTGTCACTGTATTTCAAGTGTTCAAGAAGGTAGAGGTTAAGTATGTTAAGTAGAGACATCTGCAACAGAAAAATGACCCAAATTAAATTTTAAGAAATAAGGTTATTATAGGTCTTGGTCAGGCATGGTGGCACACGCCTTTAATCTCAGTACTCAGGAAGAGGCAGGTGGATCTCAGTGAGACTGAGGGCAGCCTGGTCTACACAGCAGGATCTAAATCAGCTGGGACTACACTATAAGAACCATTGTCTCAAAAAAGAAATTCAAAAAAGATTATTGGAGGGGCTAAAATGAAAGCAAATACATTGAAGGGAATTATCAGCAAATGAGACATGTTGAAGACAAAGCAACAGAGACTACTCAAAGTAGAGGCTGAAAACAAGGGACAGATCATTAGTAATCCACAATAAACCTTTAGCAGCCTAAATACCAACAACAGTAGCCTCTAAAGAGGAGGAGTGGGAGACAAAATTATTTGAAGAAATGGGTCTTGTTACAGGTTAAATAACTATTTCCCCCAAGCCCATGTGTTAACAGTTTGGTCTTCAGGTTAGCGATGTTATCAAACAGCTATCTATGCTCCCTTAACTCTTCCTGGATAGGATTGGTGGGAGGGCACAGAAGCAATTCAAGTGCTGGTCTTTGGTGGCTTTGGCAGAAGCATCAGACAAGCAGAAACAGTAGCAGTCTTCTGTTCTAACGGTCGTGAAAGCCTCAGGTAGCCTTACAAGTGCTACCACTGTTAAGTGGGCCACAAAAGTCAAGATTCCTCAACCCTAGGCATGGACTCTTCTGGGTGGGCCTAGGTAGCAAGATTCCTCAGCCCTTGACAGATCCTGTTCTGTGGCTTTACCTCTTCTGCAGCTGATGAAGCAGCAACTCAGGCTGACCAGTGCGCAGCTCCCCTCTTCTTCAGCTGCCAAGCAGCCAGCTCCCTGCTGCTTCTGTGCCTTCTCTGCTGTCACAGGTGCTCTGCTACCCCTGCCTCTGCCTTTCCTCCGCCCCTTCTATCTTTCCATGTTATCAGCTCACCTCACCCTTTTGAATGTTTGGGAGGAAGGCTACCTGAGAAGCCTCTTGAGGGCTGAACTGCAACTCTGGTGAAGTGGCACAAGAAGACAGATACCGCCCAATCGCCTTACAAAGTACGTTGCTCACTTTTCTCCTTGTTGCGACACAATGTCAATGGAGAACTTATGGGAAGAAAACTTTATTTGGCTCATGGTTTCAGAAGCTTTTCTTGGGCTACCTCCACTCGGTGCTTGTAATTTTCCTCAGTAGATGTCTCATGTACCTGACACCTCCAAGATCCTAGAGCTTACTTTGTAGCTCAGGCTTCACCTCAACAGCTTCACACTTGGCCCATTCAGGAGCCCCTTGGAGGGAATCAAGCACATTATCTAGTCTCATAGGCTCTTTTCTAGAACCTTAGTGCAAGCCTCGATCACCCAGTAACTTGCATCCTGCCCACGCATGGAAAATGTAAGTTTCCTAGCCTGACAAGTGGCCAGATGCCCTGGCATCCTAGAGCTTTCTTTGTAGCTCAGGCTTCACCTCAACAGCTTCACACTTGGCCCATCCAGGAGCCCCTTGGAGGGAATCAAGCACATTATCTAGTCTCATAGGCTCTTTTCTAGAACCTTAGTGCAAGCCTTGATCACCCAGTAACTTGCATCCTGCCCACCCATGGAAAATGTAAGTTTCCTAGCCTGACAAGTGGCCAGATGCCCTGGGATCACAGTGGCAGGAGCAGGTGTGCCTGCATGGATGATCTTGGGGAAACACTTCAAAGGAAATTCAAATGCTTTGCATATTTATATCCTGGGGTCTTGGAAAGTGTCTCAAGGCAAATTTCCTATTGTCCCAATACAGTGTTAAATTTCCTTCAGTGGCTTTAATCTTAAATTATAGGCATTCCATCTATTTTCCTTGCCAAACTACATGCTTTTTTACATCTTTCTGCTCTGCATTTTGCTAGATTCTCAGTTAAAGCTAGATGATACATAACCAGCAACAACCAAACCAAGCCTGAATGCTAAGCAGCTTTTAAAATTCTCCACCAAATAAATAAGCCCACTGCTTTTGAATTCAGCCTTACTCAAAATTTCAAGACATGGTCGAAATGTAGTTGGTTCTTTGCCAGAATAAAACAAATGGCCTCTAGTGTATTTTATGGTATGGTCCTGGTTTCCCTTTGAAACCTGATTAGCCCCATCTCTATTGTAAATGAAGGAAAACAATGCCTGGACTTGAAAGGAGCTAGGGTGATGGCTCTGCAGTTAAGAGTACTAGCTGTTCTTGCAGAAGACCTGGGTTCATATCCCAGCACTCACACGGTGGCTAATAACCAACCATGACTCCAGTTCCAGAGGATCCGATGCCCTCTGCTGTGCTCTGCAGGCGTTACACGATGTGGGTGCACTTACATAATGCAGACCTAACACTCATACACATAAAAATAAATAATAGCCAGGTGTGGTGGCGCATACCTGTAGTCCCAGCACTCAGGAGGCAGAGGCAGGTGGATCTCTGAGTTCAAAGCCACTTTGGTCCACAAAGTGAGTTCCAGGCCAGCTGGGGCTACATGGGGCTATAGGGAGACCCTGTCTCAAAAAGACTAACTAAATAAATAAATAAATATAAACAAGCAAATAAAACAATAAACACACAAACAAAAACAAGTAAACAAACAAATAAATAAAGGGCTCTGGGCTAACTTCCAAAGGATTACATACTGAATTGAGTAAACCTTAGGTAAATCTCAAGATCCTAGGTAATTTCCAACCCAGAACTGTGTAAAACTCCCATCCCAAGGACTGTGTTATCTGGGAATACAAATAACAGCCCCATTGTCTCAAAACCTCTAAACCGTGTCACTGGCACTAGCCCTACCCACCTTCTCCCTTTTTCTGATCACTCAACCCCTAGAAGCAGCCCACCAGTTGTGCCTTTTTTTTTTTTTAATGTGTATGCATGTATTGCCTGCATGTAGATAGGGGATCCCATGTCATCCAATGCCTACAGAGGTCACAGGGTGTCAGATTCCCTGGAAATGGAGTTATGGATGACTGTTAGCCACCATGTGGGTGCTGGGAATTGAACCTGGGTCCTCTGCAAAAGCAGCCAGTACTCTTAACCACAGAGCCATCTTTCCATCCCCCTTCAGTGTTCTTAATAAAGAACACTCTGCTCCTAAGCTTGCCTCTCATCTTTCATTTTTATGTGTCCCTGGTCAAACCTGATCAAACATTATCTCTAAGCTCATCCATATTCCTCCCACAAAACAGTTCTGAAGACATAAGAACCACATGATCATATTTATCATGCCAAAGATCTCATTTCTTGGGACCAGTTTTCCATTGGGTACTTTTCTCATCACTCCAAATACCTGGCAAAAAACTTATGAAAGATTTATTTTGATTTTGGTTTTAAAAATTTCCATTTTTGTTAATACACTGTGGGCCTCAGTCTGTGGAAGATGGATCAGAAAACAGCACGAACACCCTGGAACCCAGGTATAAGCTTTGAAGCTCCTACTGATCTATTTCAACAAGCCAAGGTCCATCTCCTAAAGGGTCCACAGCCTCTAAAGCACTGCTGCAAGCTTGAGATTTAGTATTCAAAACATGAGCCTAACGAGGTATACTTCAGATTCAAATCATAACAGCAAGTGAGCTGAATTGTTGGTTGTATAGGCAAAAAAGGGGTGTTTGCACCAATCACAGCAACCTCTCATTCAAATGGAGGTTTATGCTTATACCAGGTGCTGCACTGTCCCTTTTGTATCAGTCATAGCAGTCCTTACTGCTGGGCCTCCAGGGAAATGTGTCTCAGATGGCCTGGGTGGAAACAGTTCACTGAGGCTTCTACAAGCAAAATTATGGTGCAAACTATGAAATAGCCCTGCATGGACTGAACTGTTTGTTTCTTCAAGGCATCCATGGAGTGTTCAAAATGTATGTTGGCAAAAGAGTAGTTGTGTCTGCCTGTTTAAGTGATAGTCCAAAGCATCAAGGGAGAGTACAATGTCTGCTAATTAGGAAGTTCCTTCTCCAACATATTTGCTTGTTTACCAGAAAATAACCATTGGAGTAATGCTTACAATAACTTATGAACTTATTCTTAGCACTAACAGTGATTTTTAACAGTGCTATAACAAGGGCTGAGAGATGGCTCAGCAATTAAGAGCTCTTGTTGCTCTTCCAGAATTTGGTTCCCAGCCCAATGTGGTACACTGGGCAGCTCATAATTGCTTCTAACTCCAGCTCCAAAGGACCTGATGCTCTCTTCTGGCCTCCATGGGCACCTGCACACACAAGCCACACACATGTACACATAAATAAAAATAAAATAACCCTAGGGAAAGATGGGTCTACCTCATTTGTTTCAGTCCTACTGGGCAGGGGTAGATGATTTAGGAGGTAAGGCCTAATGGGACGTTTTTAAGGCATGGGTGTGTGCCCTCAAATTGAAATGTGCAATTTGTCCCTTTGCTTGTTCATTTTGGTTCCTGGCTAAGAGGTGATCTGTGTCGTCTACCATGGGCTGTTCTACCATAATGTCCACCCTTACCAAAACATATAGTAATTAAATTGTTCAAAACTAATGATAAAAATATAGACAAAGAGAGGATGAGAAGATGTCTCAGTGAGTAAATTACTTGCTGTGCAAGCATGCAGGCCTGAGTTTAGATTCCTAGCACCCCAGTAGAAGTCAGGTTTGGTGGCTGTGATGGCTAATCCTGGGTGTCAACTTGATTGGATCTAGGATTAACTGAAATGAAAGAGATCTTCTTGACTACATCATCTAAAACCAGAAGACACACCCTAAATGTTGGCATTACCTTCTGATGGCAGTCCATATGAAAGACCAAGGTGGAGCAGAATGCCAGGCTTTTTGCTGCTTGCCTTCTCTCTCGCTGGTGAGTTCGTCTTGCTGCTGTAGACTGAAGACTAGCTGATCTTTTGGAATTTGTCAGACCTTCAGCACCGGATTGGGACTACTGAGACATCCAGCCTTGTGGGCTGAGTGACTACGGACTCTCAGCCTCTCCAGTGTGGTGCAGCCATTGTTGAACTACTCGGATTCTATCCTATGAGCTAAGCTAATAAATCTCTATACCTATTCATTCTACCGGTTCTGTTTCTTTGGAGAACCCTGACTAATACAGACTGTGGTACCAGGAGTGGTTCTAGAGAAACAGAATTGAAAGGATGAATTTCTATAATGCGCTTGTTGGTATTTGAAGCAGGCTCTCCAACTCAGAGTCTTCAGGTTAGCATGGAGAGTACTGAAAATCCGTGGTGTAGACTATTTGAAACAATTATGGAGATAGACCCATTTGAATCTCCTAACTCAC